GGACAGCTTAAATGGCAGTGTAGCCATGTTTGGTATCCGTTTCACCCTATTCTGTTCACACCACTGATGTGTGTGGTATAAAGGATATAAGCGATTATTTTGAACCAGTTGTGATTGCTGTCGCCGTAGAAATGCATAATTGAAACACAGCATTATGTTTGGTTTTGGAAAAATGTATATTCCTCTCTGTTTTCATTTTCACACTCATTTGTCATATGATTACTGCAACTGACTTGCGTCCAACTCCCTGGATCTGTTGACGCATTATAAGCGATAATAGTTCTGTTGTAAAGATAACCGCGATCCTCGCTTTATTCTGAAGTTGTTAATAACATTTTGTTTTTTCTTTTCCCGATGGTTTCGCATGATCGTTTCTTCCGTTCTCCCCCGAACGACATCGTATCCCATCTATCTGCGCAAAGCATGATCTGAAATGGTACGAATTCATTAGTCACGGATCATTATGGGCGATCTACGTGGCTCACTTTANTATGAACTGGTCCAGTTACATCGTGATGCAGTGGTTACCCACCTACATGGTCCGATTTCTCCGAGCACGACGTGAAGATTTGGTCCTCACGGCTCTGCCCTATCTGAGTAATTGCGTTGCCAGTATCGGTAAGTATATTGACTGACTGCAGTATGCATTCAACCTATGCTCATATTCGATTGCTACCATAACCGTTTTCTTCAGCATGGATTCTTCTACCTCTTATGTAAATGCGAAGAAACATATAGCTTGATTGTGCACCAGAGCTGTTTGGTGAATATGAACACGCGTCCACAGCTCATTCAAACCAGAAAGATGAATTCATTCCGGGACATAAGCGTAGAATTCTCGTCTGGAACGTATTGTAGAGTGCCTCAACGACATGGTGTTGCTCACTCGGGTTTTGTAGTACCTCCCAATGATCCGATTCCAGCGACATCTAGATTTCGACTGTCGATAAGAATGATAGCAATCATTGATTTTTTGTGGGAAACGATGCCATCTCAGAAGTTCTACCCCTTTAGACGACGAGCAACAATATCTGTTTTTACAATTATCAGTTAGCCCTCTCAATAATTTACCTCATATTAATGATTGTATTCAGTATTAGTATTGTTCAGTATTAGTATTCAGTATTAGTATTAGTATTAGTATTGTTCTGTTCTCAATATGTAAACCAATACCGGTGGAGTCGGATCATTTGAAGGTACTGTACAGAATAGCCATCGATTCCGGGACACAGAAGTCGTCATATTTAAGGTACCAATTGGATTTTCAGTTTTGTGAGTCTGCTTCACTCCAGCTCTGGCGCACAAACTCACGCATGTAGTCGTTCTCCTTTCCATGCATATGCGTCTGCACGTGTGTATACTGCCTGCTACACAAACAGCCATGAGCTATTCTAGGAACATTCATCTTTACAGACCGCAATCAATCAATGCAGTACACTACACTGATTCTGATTCAGTTAATGGTTAAAATGCGAGGTGTTGCATTATAATCGAATATCAGGTCTTGATAATATCATGTTTAAAGCATTTATTTTGCTTTGAATCGGAGAATAAAAAAATGTGGGACCCTTTGGTGCACTGTATTGACACTGTAGATTATTACAGAAAAGTCTTGATCAGTACGTCATCATCATCATCATCGTACAGCGAAAAACAGGGAAGCAAACTTCAATGATGGCTGCCAAACTCGCATGCATATGCTTTGGGGTTTGATGGACGGGTACTGCTAGGGTGTCCAGCCACCAAGCAGGAATCAGTACGTTCTCTGCTGCGATGCCTCAATATACCATTTTGGCCTTTTAATGCTATTTTTAACATACCACGCCATGGTCGTGCAACGTCTTTCGAATAGAGATATAAAAATGATTTTTTGAGAACTATTGGGCTATCTTTTTCCTGGCAACCACTTCAAGACCATAAATAAAATCATGCCTCTTTTGTCCTGTTGAGCCGTGCCGCTCGTTTTATCGTATGGGTAACCAGTCACTGAACAATATAGGGTAGCACCCGCTTCCTAATGAGTGATGACGTACGTCCGTGACAATATATAAGTTACCCATTATCTGATTTCATGTCTGCAAAGGAACAGAGGGGTAGCGTTTAAACTCTCTGTCGTTAAATGAATTTTTAAGCCAAAGTGCATATGAACTCTTCGTAACCTATTAGTTCTCCTTTGCAAGAAAGGTTACAATATCCCTTGTGAAAACCACAAAAAATTAGGTTGATCAGTGTCGTCTCTTAGCTCTGTTGTGTTTGACTCCGTCAGTTGTTAGTATTACACGTTCACGGTGCATGCGTGGGACGGNGACGGAAGCTGACTTTAGACTTGGCCTCGTTTGTATCGACCATATTTTGACAGTTCGACAAATTCTAGAACACAGACAATCGCTCCGTAGACCCACAATTTCTATTTTCCTTCATCTAAACGCCTTTAATTTAGTCGGCCAGTGTCGTCTTTCGCTGTCCCTCATTGAGGATGTAGCGGGTAGGTCCATTTCACTCTTACGATCTATTTATACCAGTAACCGAAACAGATCTCGAGCTTACCGCACCTTTACGCTGTTCGAGGAAACAAAAATTGAGCTCGGATGCACGTTCTATAGACTTAGAATTTTCCCGTATCTTATGAATTAGACTGCCAAAGGATCTCTTTTCTGGCACTGTGTACTTCATACGTTTATCGCAGTCATAAATCCCACCTAACTCATGTTTTCTCTTTGTTGCCCTTCGTCCTACTCTAGCTGCCGGTCACATTGCTGACCACTTTATTCAACGTCAATGGAGCGTATTGGCTGTGCGCCGGCTTATGACTTGCATAGGTCTAGCTGGTCCGGGCTTGCTGATGTTCCTTTTCTCGTCTTATTCTACGGTGTATTCTGCCATCGGGTGAGCGGTGCTAAACTCCTTTCCGCTTTGTGCATTGTATATATATGTGTATGTGCTTAGTTTCTATCTCCGGATGTCCGTGACCATCGGTTGGGTCGATTCAAATCACTCCAAATGAAAAAATCTAACACGAATTCATAACCAGCTCCTTTAATCAAGTTTTTCATATCATGACACTGGGCTTTAGCTGGACTACCTTCGACCTTATTTCAATCACCGCTCGTCGAGCTCGCAGAGGCTGTCTATCCGATAATATATGGGCTAGTGCGTTGCCGCCGTTGCCCGCAAGTAATGATCATATGACCTAACCAGATTTGCCCATTAACGTAAGTTCGAATGCTGTAGGGGAACCTTACAAATCTCACGTTTGAACTTTCTAAACGGCTCCTCTGCATTCTTGATAGCACTTTATCCAATATTTGGCCATCGGGTAGCAAAATTAGTCTTAGTCAGAAGCATGATCAACCCAATCTCATAATATTTTGCACTTTGGGGTAGATTTCACTCCTGTTCAAGGTTGACTGTGTTGGTCGAAAATTGTTGAACTGATAATTGTGGCTTGCTGCGATGAAAAATCCTTATTAAATCCCCCCCTCCAAGAAAAAGACTACTCCACACATATCCCGATGATAGCTTCCTTATACTGTTCATTCAACAATACATATCACCGCCTTGTGAGCAAGCTTGGTGCCAACGCAATAACACAAGACGGGTGGGTGTTTGGTATAAAAAGCAGAGTTTAATAAAAGTATAGTTAACGGATTAAAAATGAGATTTAGGGTCAACCGACCTGACCATAATCGTTTTGTCTTGGAAATTAAAAACGTGGGAGTTTCGCTGTTCAAGTTTTTCCTCACAAATTTTGTGCACATTGTTGAGCGACAGAATTGTTGTTTGTTGAAATATCTTTCCCAGTTATTTGAGATTTGGACAGATTACTACCAGTTGCTGTATTATGTGCCCAATGGTTACTTCGCTTTTACTTCCCTACCGTGCATACACACACACACACACACAC